TTGCTAGGTGACTGGTGGTACTCTGATATTGCCATATCCTAAAAGTGGTACAATGGGTGAAAAGATTGAAAAGCCCTGGTTTAGTCTAACTGTTGCCTTCTTGCTTTTTTCTTTTGTGAAGCTGCACTGAAAAATAAGTTTTTTTTATCTCTTTATGAATGTTGATTCTGGATAGAATTGCAGATAAAGGTTCAGCCTGATTGTTTATGGATAGACGGTTATAGCAAAGTTGATAAGAAAGAGACGTGGTGGATGTTGAATGGGGAGAAGAGAATGTTAGTGGAGGCTGAGGGGGGGGGGCTTTCCCTCCCTGTAGTTCTGGGTTCTGAGCCAGGCTCTGAATTTGTTAGTAAGTAGGAGAAGAGACTTATGGATAGTTTTGGAAGTTGGAAAGAAAGATTAATAGTAAAAGGGAAAAAGTTACGTAAAGTTGAGAGAAGAAAACGTACATGGGAGGCTGAATGCAGGTACACGAAGGAAATGAATGTTCTGCCAGCAGCAAGATCTGACTGTTGGCCCAGCGACGGATTCTATTGCAAATCAGGGCTGTTTCCAAAGGAGGCAAAGGAGAAAAGGTCCCGGTGCTTATGGAACAAAGGAGCTGGATGAAGCTGTCAGCAGGCCCAAAGGAAGAGAGAGAGGCTTTTGGAGGAGTTGGTGGTGGTGGCAGCATGCTCCAGGGATGAAAAGAAGCAAGGCCTCTTTAAGGAAAAGGTGGAAGAGACAGGATCAGAAAAAGGAAAGGAGATGAGGTTGTCGTGCAGGAATACAAGCTAATTTGAGGGCTAATCCACATGGAGCTCCATTTCCATCTGTCCTGTTTGCCATTGTTTGCTCCCTAGAAACTAAAATGGATGATCTGAAACTTGACCTGGCCACGAACAAGGAGTGTATATCGGAGGTGATGACCATTTGAGAGCTGTATGCAACGAAATTTCATTTTGATGTATGCCGATTGGTGTACATTCAAAGTGACAATAAAGTTGTTGTTATTATTATTATTGATGATTGATCATCGCACAGTCAGTCAGATGTTCAGACTGCATTTGACATTTTTGTCTACCTATCATGTCCTTACCAAGGTCCTGGGATAGGCAGATGTGGATGTTTGATGGTATTACAGATATCATCGCAGGATGGAAGCAGTTCCTAGTAAGATATTATTATTATTATTATTATTATTATTATTATTATTATTATTATTATTATTATTGTTGTTGTTGTTGTTGTTGTTGTTGTTGTTATTATTGTTGTTGTTGTTGTTGTTGTTGTTGTGGAGGATTATGTATTTTGTTTTTGGCTGATGTTGTGGATGGTACACAATGGCTGGACAGGTTATGACATCTAGTGGTGAGGCCATTTCAATACAGGCCTCAACTCTGGAAAATTTGCCTTGTCCTGTTTGAAATGATGGATGGGAGGTTTTTGTTACATGAAGGTTCAAGAATGTCAGTGAAAAAGAGAAGAATGTTATTCAGTATTTGCATAATCTGGCGCAGGTTTTGTCTTCTATTCCAGTACACGAGACTTATGGATAGTGCTAAAGTCTCCTTTGATGCATGTTAAACCTATTGACTATAATCAAGCTAAATGGACTAAGTATGGAGACAGGCTTACTCATTTAATGCAAACTACATCCTACCCAACCTGGCACAATCAAAGGAAAATTCAATATAATTAAAGGAGTCAGCACTTCTCAGTGCAACACTGATTCCTACAACCTGGTGTGCTTTGAGATAACCAGACCAGCAGACTTCTCAGCATCGTTTGGACCAGCTATCAATTAAACCAGACACAAATATGGGTTCAACTTGACACTTTATACCACTGTCCTAGAAACATTTTCTAGTTTTTCATTCTTTTTATGGTGAACTGGAAACCACAACTGAAATTTCCTCAGTATCAAAGAATCTTTTTATTGATCTGCCCCAAAAGAATTGCTTCATTTCTAAATGTGATTAACTGTTATATGTGTGTGGGTACTAACATGGGAAGCATGTGAAATAAATTTTACTACCCTGACTAGTCAAAATCTCACTGGGAAAAGCCACCAACAGACCCAACATGTGGACTCTGACCACTTCCATAGTGGGAAGCCTCTGTTTTAAAAACAGAAGGTTCTGGTAAAAACCTTGGGGAGACTTAGGTGTGAACATCTCTTGTAGGTGAGCACCTCAGTATCTTTTTGGTGGATTACCACTGATTTGGCCTAACCCCAAACTCCCATGGCAAACATTCCTCAACTGTTTACTTTATGGACCAATCTAACAGATGCCACCCTCAACTGGACTGCCCCAGACAGACTTACTACATGGCAAGAAGATAGATGTATAAGTAATAGGACTCTTGTTTATATGCTTAATAGAATTATTAGACTGCAAGCTGTAGTAGGAATAATTACAAATTAAGGGCATTTAGAATAACATAATGCTGTTTTGCTTCTCTATACTATGCTTGTGCAGGAACCTCCATTAACTATGCTTGTGCAGGAACCTCCATTAACGAGAAGTACACATACAGAAAGATAAAGAAAATTAATTTGTTAAAATAACACTACAAAATTAAAGAGGGATATGGTTTTCCTTTTACATGTTGCTGCCTGTATGTGTGAAGGAAATACACCCAGCTTCTGTGGAAACCTGGACAGCTGCCATGGACACAAGCTGGTTTGGAGAGATCTTTGGTGATTGGCAAGGGGAAAATTTTCTGGTTATGTTAGCATTTAGAGGTCTTTTGGTTTTGCCATCTTTGATTCCTGTTATCCAAAGAACAGTTACTTCTACTATCTTGGGATGAAGGTCATAGGATCCTCTGTAAGTAGTGATAAACCCTGTAAGCCAGCCAAGGTCCTGATTATCACCTTAATAACAAAGGAATATATGTCATTGGTCACCAAGTAACAGAAAGCATTCTGTTATGAAAATAAAGGGGGGAATGAAAGGTTCTGGAACAAAGGAAAATTATTTAGTCTAACTGTTGCCTTCTTGTTTTTGGTAATCGGCTTTTGCACCAGAGAAATTTCATGCAAGTGTGGGAAACATGTACATGGATGGGATATACTGAAGGAGGGAATAAAGGAGTGTACAGGAATGATTTATATCTCCTTTATGATGTAATGGCTCTGTTGCTTGATGTTCATTGGCTAACGAAGTTTATAAAGCAATGCTACCAACTTTTTAATGCGTGGCACTTCTGGACATAACTCTCCCAGCGTTCCAGATTGTTGGCTACCCAGCTGCTTAATTTGATCAAATAAAGTGCTGCTTGATCAAGAAGTCTCCGCTTGGGTTATCTATTAGATTGATATGATATCTCAAGTTTAAGTAAGGGATTGGGACCTTACAGTGGTACATGGTTGAACTTCAGTTAGTACTGAAGAAGCTTCTTGGGTGTGAAGCGAAACATCTTCAAGAAAAAAAAAGACCAGTTTTCTTTTGAAAAACACCTTCGGGATATAGAATTTGGGTTACTTGAAGTAGAAGCCCACTTCTCTTACCAGTACTTGTGATAATTATTTTGGGAAAGTGCTTAATTTTATCTTTTCCAAATGTAGTAGATAAACATTTATGTTCTTCAATGTATTTGTATCCTTATGTTTTAGCATTTCACTATCTGAAAATAATTCTGTATTTTTTCTGCCCACATGATTGTTTCCATATGTAAATGGAAAGTAGATGGGTCAATAGGAAACAGAAAACTGAAAAGTCATATGTTGTTGGGTGGAGTTGAGGATAGCCTAAAAGAAAGAGAGAGTTGAGAAATCTATAGAACAAAAGACAATGCTATAGTTGTGGCAGCAAGGACATTTTGTTAGGATAGAAAGCATGGGGAAGTACAGTGAATGACTTGGTGTAAACTATATTTATGGGTGGTTCCCTCTTTTTCTTATACTTTTAATTCCTTTGCATTGCTATTCCTTATTCTTTTCTATACTCTGCATAAATTTACTTATTTGAAAAAGCAATAGTGAGAGGGATATGAATGTATGTATTGGAGGTTCAAATAATATAAGTCTGACCTGGATTAAGAACTTGGTGTAATAGAGTAGATGACAGGTCATAAGAACTCATTAAATCAGAGCCAGTTTGGTCTAGTGGTTAAGGCACCAGGCTAGAAAGAGAGTTCAAGTCCAGGCTTAGTGATAAAAGCCAGGAGGAAGATGTGTTTGGATATGTTTACTGCCTTGAGTTAGTTGTAAAAACAATAAAGGCAGAATACAAAATAAATAATAATAAATGAGACTATGATTTAGCATATCATGTGAGTCAATAATTCAATGATTTAATGACACTTTAAAAAAAAATTAAATGCCTGGAATTTCATTTCATATTGAGAAAACAGCTTACTAAGTGTTCATCAGATCTGGATAAGCAAGTCAAACATGGTAATAATTGCTTATACTATGTATTAAATCATGTTTTGCTTGAGATTTAGTGAATAAGCCACAGTTAACAGCATTTATATAATACACTCACCCAAAATAAAAAAGTATTATTAGAGACTAGCATGATATCTGTGGCCCAATAAATCAGATAACTAAAACTCACAAGTGATATTCTTGGATTAATTTCCAAAAGAAATTTCCTGACACTCTTTTGTAGGAAAAAACCCCCAAATCTTGTGACATCTTTGGGATTAACAAATTTATTTTCAGATAGTCTTTTGTGGATCATGTCAAATAGATGGATTCTGTATAAGATTTTATATTTAATACAGTTATAGAATTTAAGAGTTGCTTTGAGAATTGGCAGACAAGCTAAGCAGTGATCATATATATACACTATAAAGAAAATCTTGTGTTACCTCAAAAGGCAGCAAATCTACAATCATGAATTTTCAGTCTTCAGTAGTTTATACATTACACACATTGTATTGGTCATTATTTTGCAATATAATATGACAAAAATATAATCCTGATTTTTACATGCAAGGGATAAAGAACTGCAGAACGTTGCGTAAAGTCGCTTTCGCTTTTGTTTAGTATTGACTCCCTACAGTTGCCGTAGCGAGGCAAAACGGAGAGCTGGGAAGAAAGATGGCTGCGTTTGCTGCGGCGCGGCGATTTTCAGGTCAGTGAATGAGACGAAAATCCAAAGGGAAATTTCTTGGGTCTGGTAGTTCAGGACGAGTAAAGGAACCAAAAAAAGAAAGCTTACTGCTGCGAAATCTTTGAGCTCATTATAAATGCCTCTAAAACCGTGTAACTGTATGCAGGGGCGGTACTATTTGAGATGCTGTACAGGCGTGGGGAACTATGGCCCTTTTATGGATGGCTCAAGAATTCTGGGAGTTGAAGTCCACAAGCCATAAACGGGCCATGGCTCCCCACCTTTGCTGTACAGCTCAATTGTAATACTTCGGTTTAATTGGGCTTACTAGCAAAATGAAGATTTCAAGTGTATTTTCAAGCATGAAAGAGCACCCGCCTGGCTTTTATAGTTGGGCCTGCTGGTCAAAATAGTTGAGATGAAGTGACTGGTGTACATGTTGCAGGCAAAAGGAAGTATCAATGAGAGATTGTAGTTGGATGGTGATGCAGTTACAGCTTCTGACTAGCATTGCTATCCAAATTGTGGTCAAGTTGTTTTCCATCCCAATTACTCTATTTTGTACAAAAGTAAAGATAGATGAAGATGCTCTTCATAAGTTGATTTATGGTAGAGGTTTGGCGTTGTAATGGAGGAGCGGAGACTTGCTGGTTTGCACATTTCCTGGCAAGCTACTGTTTTATTAGTTCAGTTTCATATCGGAGCTATTTCATGTTGTTATGAAATAATTGTATTAATTCATCTTATTAGCACTGCTGCCCCATACATCTTAATGTTTTGACACAATCTTGAAACAGAATGCATTGCTTATTAGATTTATTACTTAGGAGTAAAACATGCGAGGGAAATATAGGAAAATGAAATTATTAAAAATGGAGGGAGAGGAGAGAGAGAGGAAATCCAAGTCTTTGTATCTAGTCTATTCCCAACAATTAATATGCCAAAGCAGGTGAGGAACAAAATATGCATGAAGAAACAATTTTATTGAAATGAAGTATAAACTCACAAGTGGCTTCACACAATGTTCTAGGACATAATTGGTTTGTTTGATTTTATTTATGACAGATGAACCCAGCCAAAATTAAGAAAATCATTGCTTAATATGATGTGAAAACATGATATAGGGATGATAGCTATAGAACACTATAGAATAAAATATTGATTTTAAACAGTCCAAGAGTATGGCTTTGTGTTATAAAACACAAATATAAAAACTATATTTTAAATTATGATGTGAACCAGCTTGATAGTATTGTAGGTTTTTTTTTCTTCCATGCATGGCTTTGCTAGCCATGAATACTGAAATGGCTATCTGCTTAATTTGGCTATTTAAACAGGAAATAACCATTTCCCCTATCAATCTTCCAGTGAATAAAAAACAAAAAAATGTGCATTGTCATTACTATATATCTAATTGGTCTCTCTTGACAATTCACTCTTTCTTCAAATCTGCTCCACTGTTATTAAAAATTGCTGCTTCTGAATCCCATTCTGATTCTTAATCGAGATAGAATAATTTCTTCATAACACCTCATAATTCCTAAATGGACAATAATTATGAGTGATAATTCAGAAAGAAGTTTCTGCAACTTGTGCTGAGTTGCTCATGTTCTGTTTTTGTTTTTTTGTTTTTTTTGTAGTTTTACGATCTTTTTGCTCTTTGGTCCCTTCAGTCTACAGTGGCTCATGCACTGTAACCCCAATTTATCGACTGTCTTCATTTCATATCTCTCAGAGGCAGACATCCACAGGTTATATCAAAAAGCCTTTTCTATCTTTAGGCAGTACTTCATCTGAACTTTCCTTCTCTATAGTAAACAGGTAAGTGTTGTTTAACAGATTTGAATTTTCATAATTATGGATTTAATATCTGTATGATTATTTCTTTATTTATAAGGTTTCTCATCTTGTGAAACACACTCTGGACAGCTAATAGCAATAATAAAAACACAGTGATAAAATAGTCCAACAAGCAAAAAGGAAAAATGTAGCACATAATTCAGCAACTTCCATCCAACTATACAGTCCCCCAGGCTTTAACATTGCTATCCCAGTGCCAGATTTCTGGAAAGCTAAGAAGGTAGAGACCTGCCAGATATTAAGGGAGATAGTGTTTTGTAATGTCAGAGTTTGCAACATTACATATTCTACTATCTTTTTTCTTTTCATTATTTTCACAGTTTTGTTTGTAAGATATTTTTACCAGGAGAAAATGATTTATCTATAAAATGCCTCTTTTAACTTCAATTGAGTAGATTTATAATAATGCCTATTCATAATGTCTTTTGTTTGGTTTTAGCTTGTATGTTAAGCAAATCCAGCCAATTGTAGCTTATTCCATAAACTACAATTGCATAAAACATGGCTAGTACAATGGTTGAATCAGTCCACTTATGGCACTAGTTGTGAAATAGTTCTTGATCTCAAACCCCCCCCCCCACCAGGACTCCCGAACTCCCAGGCCACAAACTGATCCTTGACCCCCCACCCCCACCTCCTGTCGATGGAAAAATTGTCTTCCATGAAACCAGTCCCTAGTGCCAAAAGGGGGGGCACTGTTCTATTAGATATTTCATTATTGATCTGCTCCATACTGTGTTTAAGGATTGAACATAGTTGTCCTCTGCAAAATATCAAGAACTCTACTTAGATGGTTAAATAAGTATCTCTATACAGTATAACAATCTCTAGGCATAGTAGCATTATAGTGATGGAAGACCCGCATAAAAGAAGAATCAGTAAAAGCAAACATAATTCTGTGATACAGATGTGATGGAAATGTGAGGGGGGATTGCTTTTTTCTGGAAGGCAGCTGTATGCTTTGTTCATTATTGACTAGATTGTTTTTTCAGTATCATTTATATGACAAAAATAATTTTATAAAGACATTTGAGAATAGAAGGTCAATGTTTTGAAGAACTGATGGAATTGTTGATGCACATTTTCTGTCTACTCGGGCAGGAATTAATACATTAAATTTTACATTACATAAGTAGTGAATTGGTTTTATATTTTCTTGATTCGATATAAATATTAGAGTGACACCTCTGCTTCAAAACATCCTTCATCAGCAAGTAAGGACAGTTATCAGTTACAGCTTGCGAAAAGGAAAAAGAAAAACTGTGAAACCAGTGGTTAAGAGATTTCTTCGATTGCATTGTGGCCTCTGGCTAAGAAGAAGGGTAAGAATGTTTTCTTCATTAAACATAGGATTTTCTTATGTGCATGAGTCACCCTTTCCTATTTATAAAGAAATAGAAAATGATCAAAATGAAGACTATGCCTGCCTCTATAGAGGTCTTAATAATTTGTGTTTTTATATATAGGCATCTGTGTTTTGAGATTTAAATCTTTTATTTTCTGGTTGATAGGCTGGTTACAAGAAAAAGGTATGGAAAAAAAAGGCTGGCCGGATGAAGCGCTTACGGGAACATGTATTCTGCAACAAAACACAGAGTAATATGCTTGATAAAATGACTACTTCCTTCTGGAAAAGAAGAACATGGTATGCCAATGATCCCTATCAGAAATATCATGATCGTACAAACTTTCCCTTGTGAATTGTTAACTGCAATTAATCATTTATCCTACTTTTTTAGCAGCCATGTAGGAAACTTCTATTAAATTACTTATGAACAATAACAGATGAAATATTTATGGTGTATTTTATTTGCACAAACTGATTGATATAGTTTATATGAATTACCATAGTCACAAGCATCACAATCTAAATATTGTATGGTTTAGTATTAATGGCTGTCTTTAAATCCTGCTTTTAAATAAGAATTGCAACTTTCCTCAGACATTTTTTTTATTTAGATAGTGATTTATGTGATTACCCAGCTCAAATTAATAATTCTGGGCCATTTTTCTGACTAAGCATGCACAATTTAAACAAGTGCTCTTGGAGAATAATGTAACTATTTAAAAGAGTTGTGCATTCGCTTTTATTTTTTTAATTATAAATATTAAAGAAAACAGATATATTTGTCATGGTAAGTATTGGGGTAAATTTAACTTGCTGCTCTCTTATCTGAAAAAAGGAAGGCACACTGATCTCATTATTTCCTCAATTATTTAGAACTCAGAAGGGTATACTTGATAATTATCTCCAAAAACAGGGGTTAGTTTTGAGTGAGAGAATAATTGATACAAGGTCATCAACTGAACTTCAAACTGATGAGAAACTTGAATTTAATTTTCTCTATTCCTGGTTTGAAACTAATCAGAATGTCACTCTGACTCTCCAAGTAATTCTTTAGTATCTTTGAGAGTTCTTAAGAAGCTTTTCAGTGACAACACAGAAAGTATTGGGGAGATAGAACATTTACAAGAAATAGACCACTACAAAAAGCATACAGTTAAGCATAATATTATTGAACAGAACAGCCATTCTTTTAGAAAAGAAAAATTTAAGACTTTATTTTCAATGTTTATCAGTCATAACAAAACATTGACCTTTGGAATACTGTTGTAGTGTTTGATCATACAGTTCATTCTTTAGTGCTCTATGCACGTTAATTACCCAGATTAGCCTCAGATATTAGACATTAATGTAAATTTCCAAATGCAGAGTGTGCCAAATATAAAATATGCTATTGCAAAAAAAAATAGTTAATGAAGCATTTAGCACAAGAACACTTTTGTACATTTAATACATTTATCTTGCAGAGTACAGTTTGAAAGTAATAGACCGTGTACACTTGACTAGGGACCATCCAATACTATATTCAGAATTTCTTTTTTTTTTCTAAATATCTTATTTAATAAGATTTTTATTTCCTGTTTCCACATATATTCTTTTTGCTTAATTTTTGTTTGCAGATTTTGTCTTAAATATGGAGTTTTTCTGCTTAATGTATTTATATCCCACCTTTATTATTTTTATAAATAACTCAAGGTGGCTAACCTACCTAATACTCCTTTCTCCTATTTTCCCCATAACAACAATCCTGTGATGAGGATTGGGCTGAGAAAAGAGTAACTAGTCTCATCACCTAACTGGCTTTCATAACCGTCTCCCAGTTTTCTAGCCTGATGCCTTAACCACTAATTGCATAAGAGGTTGCCTTTGAGCAAGTAAAAACTTATTTCTCCATTTGCCCTCTTTTAAGTTTTCTAATTGGCAGCAGCAATTCAAGTTCTTTGGCAGATACCACTATATCAGTGATACCATTGCCTTTGTAGGCAAAAACTGAATATTGCTTCCTGCGTCTCAAGAGTGAAGGTTGAAAGACTAAGGCAAACATAAAAAATTTAGGGCCTAAGCAACAGATAATGGTCTGATTATTAATTATCAAAAAACCCAAAATTATGATCTGTTCAGAGACCTGCTAATATAAATGTTCATGGCAAATTAATGGGAATGTTATAGAACAGGTTCAGTCTTTATAGAACAGGTTCAGTCTTTAAATATTTCAGAACAGTTATCGACAGGCACTTCAAAGCCCGAATTCAGTTTTTAAAAGAGAAGGTAAAAGAGTGCAGCAGCTATCTTAAGGCTTTTCTTTATGAAAGAGGTAGTCATATACTAGGCTGGCTAAAAGTGTTTGAGATCAAAGCAATAATACAGCTATTTTACAGGTTTCAAATTGGTGCCTAAAACATAGAGCTATTCAATCAGCTACTCTAAGAGACATGTTTTGGGTTTCACGGTGCACTCCAAACATAAGCCAAAAATGGAATGGGTCAAGTATGTGTTAGTTATTGGCTTAAATTAATTCTCGACCCAAGAGGTTTGGCTATTCTGACTGTTAAAGATAATTCCATTCTTCTTGGTGGAAATCATTTAAAAGTACTGTGGACTTTCCCTTAATGCATTGCTCTTAATAATTTTTAAGAGGCCAATTAAATATTTAAGCAACATGCCAAAAGAAATTCCAGAATGATTTCATCCAGATTCACCTTATTTCGTACCAATGAATCCATAAAAAGTATTGCACCTGCCTATTATTTGTTTAATATTACGTCCCAAAATGTCAAAAGAGGTTTTACATTGGTCTCTGAAATACCCTTCCATTTTCCTTTTGAATATATATCTATCTATATAAATAAAAATGTAAATGTTCGTTTGTTCAAAATCTTAAATCTCCGAAAGTTCTTCACCGATTGCTTTGAAATTTTGACACAACGTTGCATTCGAATACGCGCGTGTTTTTATATACCTACTATTATATAGATGTCACACGTGTGACACAAACATGCGCTTTCTCTTTTCTTTCTTTTCCATTTAACCAGACTGAGCCACAGCAACGCGTGGCCAGGTACAGCTAGTAATATATAATTTCATATACATGATATATGAAAGATTATATATATATATCAAGTTACAAAAACTTCCTTCAAAAGGCAGATGGAAGGATATACACACACAAGTGTTTTGTGTGTGCGTGTGTGTAATTTCCCAATTATCACACAATATTTAGACAAGATTTAAGATGACTGTCAATCTCTTATTAATTAATCGGGAAGCAAAGATGTCAATTAGAATAGCCAGATTCAATATTCTGGCTATGACAGAAATAAACAACTGCTTCAAAAAGGGTAAATCCAAATATACTCTATATCATATTTAGTTGTATTGTTTTGATAAACTAATTACAGATTATGGACCTAAATCACGGGCTTATTTCCTCATGAAAAGAAATATGAATTGGATATTTGGTAAATGTGGGGTATTGTAATACTGTGCTAGCTTTGCATTACAGGTAGCAACCTTAGCTATTTTTGCAGCTAAATAAGAGAGTCAGGTTAGTACTTGGATGGGATTACTGTGCAATTCTAGGAAGATGGCTAGATTGAAAAGCTGGAAATACAATTTGGCATGAAGGCAAAGCCATTCCACTTTCAGTGATACTTAAAAAGGCCCCTGGACATTTAAAAAGGCCCCAAGGGAACTTTGTTCCTTTATATATTGGAATCTTCTCTATAGTCTCAGTTCATTTTATAATACTAAAACTGCTTGCAGCAGGAACAATGTGCTAATGGAACACGTCAGATATTCCTGATATGATCCATTGATGCCTCCACATCTGCAGTTCAATTCAGTCATTTCAGACTGAGTAATGTGGAAATTGGAGTTGGTTTGGATGCACATTTCACTTCTGATATTGACCCAAAAAATAATGGAAAACTGAAAAACTATTCATTAAGTGTGTACAGTAAAAAAGCACATCATTATTATATGGAAATGTGTTATTGTTACTGAAAATAAAATAGAGTCCAGTATTTTGATAGAAAGTATATGCCTTGAATTTTCAAATCCCCAAAACTAATGGGTTTTGCTACATGTATCTAACAATTTTTTATAGTAGCCAGGACCAATTTGTTTCCAACAATATTGCAGATTAAAAAACCACCAGTTATTATGTAGCCATTCATGATTCTCACTGAGTTATATAGAGGCCTACAGTTCAGCTGCAATTAGTACATTTGCTAGATACAAATAATTTTTACAATGAATTCATATGAGAGATAAGGCAATTTCAACAATTTCACTTCAGTATTTACAAGACAAAGTCCAGAACAGTAATATTTTTAGTAAACAGCTGATCAAAAAAACATTGATTAGCTTTAATTAAAATAAAGTGTTCTAGAATTTGAGAAGAAACATATCTTTTTGGCATAAATGAATATAAATTTACCAACTTTTTTCTAAAAAATTCAATTATATGTAACACAATGGCAAAACTCTGCTTGTATGTCTGCTATTTTTTCATACAATAATGAAGTAGGTGTATATGTATGAGAGAGACACAAAATATGTCTATAGAATCTTAATAAATATGTAAGCTGACACATTGATTTTGCGATACCTGTCCTATGACTGAATATTTTCTAGCTGCCATTTAAGTTCTTGATTTACTGATTAAAATGGCAACAGGTCCAAATTTAGTTTAAATGGGAGACAATTGTTTTATTATTTTTTCGTATAATGCTAGTGATGTGTTGCTGATACAATAGGATTTTTTTAAAAAAAGCATTAGGAAGTTCCAAACTAATACTGAAGCATGCTAAGAAAAATCCTATACAGGTAGTCCACGAGTTACGAATATAATGGAGCCTGCCCATTCCATTTGTAACTCAAAAACTTGTAAAGTGAATCTGATACTTTGAATGAGATCACTCCCTTGCTCGTTAAGATGCACGCAGCTCGTTAAGTGCACATGAGGAATCTCAAGGTGTGGAAGGCCATTGGGGGGGGGCTAGTGATGGAATAGGTCCCCAAGGCCTCCCCGACCCACTAAGATACCTCATGCTTCCCCCTCCCTTCCTGCAGCTGGACTCACTTATCTTGAAAAGATCCATCTCCTCTCTGCCGCGGTTTCTGCCTTTGAGGGAGAGGAAAGTCGATGGAAGCTCTTGGGTGCCCGTAATATCACACAGGTTCAGGCACCGATCCTCATTTGCAGAGAATGGGAACCTGAACTCTCACGGTTTTTGCTCCCGCCCCCAACTCCTTTCTGTCACTGCCAGAACAATTTTCACCAGGACAGAGACCTTGGAGAAACTGGAAGTTCTGTCTGCATGCAAATGCACACTTAGAAACGGAGCACTTCACTTTGTGGTTCCGTTTTCGCCGGAAAAAGCCATTTCTCAAGCCCCTTCCTGACGAAAACAAACCTCCAGAGCCAGCGTGCCTCGATCTTATTGAGAGCAATCCTGTGAAAACAAGCCTCCAGAGCAAGCACGCCTTGCTCTTTGGCTAAGCTTTCACAGGAAAAAGTTATTTCTCAAGCCCTTCCTAGCGAAAACAAGCCTCCGGAGTGAGCGCGCCTCACTCCAGAGGCTTGTTTTCGCAGGATTGCTTTCAAGAAGAGTGAGGCGTGCTTGCTCTGGAGGCTTGTTTTCACTAAGAAGGGGCTTGAGAAATGGCTTTTTCCTGCAAAAACTTAGCCAAAGAGCTTGTAATCTCTGCCAGATCTCCGTTGGGATAAAAAGTCTTTTAGCTCCTATAGAGCGCTTCCAAACACAGCCATTCCCTGCATTTGGAAGCGCCCCATAGGTGCTAAAACATCAGATCTCCACCAGATCTGGCAGAGACTGCAAGCTCCATATGCCTGGAAAGGGACGCTTGAGAAACGGAGCCTTCTGCCAGGTCTCCGTTGGGATAAAAAAATGTTTCAGCACCTATGGAGCGCTTCCAAACACGGACTGGCTGTGTTTGGAAGCGCTCTATAGGTGCTAAAAGACTTTTTATCCCAATGGGGATCTGGCAGAGACTGCAAGCTCCGTATGCCTGGAATGGGGCGCTTGAGAAACAGAGTGGGTGCTTCAAAATGCAGGGAATCCCTGTGTTTTGAATAGCCCCACCAGAGCACAAACCCTCCACAATCCACCCTAACACCCACCACACCCCAGGGCATCCACAATGCCAAATCCTAACCTCCACCCCAGGGCAACCACATTCCTTCACTAACCTCCTTTCCAGCTCCGTTCTCCGTGTGCAGGGCAACAAAAGAAGTTTGTGGGACTAAAAAAAAAAAAGACCAATCTGACCTTCCAACTTCTCGTGAAGATCTAGTTGAACTTTTTTGTTAACCGGTAGTCCCACATGCTTCTTTTGTTGCCCTGCAGCGGTGGCGGAGAACAGAGCTGGAAAGGTGGTTAGTGAAGGGAGGCTTTGGGGAAGCGAGGGGAGACAGGGAAGGGTCTTCTCTGGCGCCGCTGCCTCTCTCCACCAGCATCAAGGCTTGGAGGCTTGTTTTTGCCAGGAAAAAGCCATTTCTCAAGCCCCTTCCTGGTGAAAACAGAGCCAAAGCGCAGCTCGCTCTTATTGAGAGCAATCCTGCGAAAACAAGCCTCCGGAACGAGTCGGCCTTATTGAGAGCAATCCTGTTCTGCGCCTCCATTTCCTTTCACTGAGAAGGAGCAGACAAACTCAAGCCTGCCGCTCAAACACCTTTCATCTGAACGGAGACCTGAATCACATGGAGTTTCAAGCAGTCACACGGAGCATTCCTTTCCATTTCTGAAGTGCCCCACTGCAGGCACACAGACCTTCCAATCTCTCTCATTTGGATAAAAAGTGAGCAGCAGTAGCTTGAGTTTTCCCGCTCTGTTCCAAAGGAAGAAACTGGAGACGCAGAGCAGGATTGCTGTCAAGAAGATGCAGGTGCGCTGGCCTTATTGAGAGCAATCCTGCTCTGCACCTCCATTTCCTTTCACTTGGAGCAGAGAAACTCAAGCAGCTGCTGCTCAATGAGTGAGGATGATGATGGTGATAAGAGTGATGGGGATTTGTGCCAACTGGCCGGCCAGGCAAGAACTAGGTCAGATGGGGCAGGCGGCTGGCTGGGGAGGGGGATCATGGCCACTCAGGTGGTTGCCGCTGCTGCCAGCTTGGATGTGGGTGCAAAGGACCTGGCCCCGCGATGCCTCCCCACTCAGCTGAAGGCTTCGTTCCTGTCCTCAAACTAAGGCTGCCGCATGTGAGCGAGCAGCGCACCCAGGCCACAGACAGCATTGGTTCCTGCGCCTGACCAACTCTGATTCCACGCTTTGCCCCATAGGCATGCAAACGAAGCAAACACTTCCCCCCCCCAGAGAACTGAAACTTCTGGGGGCCATGATCTCTTTTGCAGAGAATTTGTGTTTGAACTCGTGCGATATTACAGCACCCAGGAGCTTCCATTGTCGGCGCAAAAAGCATTTCCAAGCCAACTCTCCTCTCCCTCAAAAAGAAAGAAACCGTGGCAGAGAAGAGACAGATTTTGCAAGGTAAGTGAGTCCGGCACGGTAGAAAGGGAGGGAGAAGCAGTTGTGGGGAGCAGGGGGAGGAATAGGGTGAATATTGCAGAACCTCTGCTGTCAGTCACTCATCAGGGCGAACGACTAGTCGTAATTTTGGGATTTGCTAGTAAGCACTAGGGGGCGCTGATCACATAACTTCAAACAAGCATTAAGTGAATGCTCATTACTCGGGATTACCTGCATATTTACTTCAAATATCCACTTTATAATGTTGACAATGGAGACTGAAATATGGTCATTTCATACTCTTATCTGAAAGAGATTAGATTAGTGCTGTCATATACAATCTACCTATCCTCAGTGTCAACATGTTTATGTTCTACAATACTTTTGTTTTTAATGAGATAGCTACATAGGTAAACACAAATGTATATAGTATAATCTTCAAGATTTCACATGCTTTACACATATAGGAGACATCAATCCAAAGCTAAAATACACCAATCCTAGTATGTTGTCCTTGTTTTGAACTTTTCTATAATTACAAATGTATCATCTAACTACAGACTGTTGTAATCTATTCCAAAAGCTATATTACTGCTGAAATCTGTTAACTTCTCTAAATTAAATGCTAACATGTGAGCTGGGAGAATGACAGGATTAAAATCATATGGACAGAGGATTGATTTGCACCCAAAACTAATTATGATTTGCACTCTACTATTCATTACTGCAACCATAAACATGCCTTTGACATGTCGCACAATAGCCCACTAAAATGGTCAAAATGTTAGATAATACTGTACCAATGTATTTTTATACAGTGAATTTCTCAATAGCACAATTCTAGCTCTATTAGTGTGAATGCAATGTCTACCTGATTTCATAGTTGAACATAATGACATCAGTTTTAAGAAAGTTACGGCATCAAAACAAAGATTCAACAGTGTATAGTCCTATAAATATGTTTCTCATCTCTACATTTCTAAGACTCCAGTGGGTCCGTTTTTATACAGATTTAGTGACAGAATATACAGTAACTAACTCCATAAATGAATGCACAGAAGAAATAGTAACATATTTAGATCTGTTTTTACATTTTCACTACTTGTCAAAACAATTAATCTTAATACATCATTCACAGTCTGAAAAATCTGTGGCCCCTATCAGTCCACATTATATTTATTATTAAGCTCCAAATAAATATAATTTTAAAACAGATGAAGAATTCGTTTTCTAAGTTCATTAACAGAGCTAAAACTAAAATCATGTAACTTAATGGCTACAAATATCGAACCCCATTACTGTAGCTTGGGAAAAAAATATTCTGCAATGAAATCAAAGGGGGTAGAAGAAACATTGCTTCTGTCAATGGAAAATATAATGCAACACAAATGGCAGCATAAGAAAAGGGAAACAAGAAAGTTCATTCCTAAAATGCTACAATATCACAAACACATCCCTCTCACCACTGTTCCCCTCTCCCCCCCACATACAATAATGTAGATCTTTTAAGGCAGAAGAGAGGCATTCTGTGGATCTTGGTGCTGGATGGTTCCTCACACGCTTGTGGTTTCAGTAGGAGAAGATGAGGTACTTTTTTTCCTGAAACGAGGTCTAAGGCTCCTAGGCGGTGCCTGCCAAAAGCATAACACAAAAGTTGATTTTTCTATGCATCCAATTTGAACAAAACAACTTAATGTAAGTATTTAGCAAGTATGAATAATCAACTCTAAAATGAATCCTAAAGCAACCTTGATTTTCAGGAAAATAGGCTGAACAAAAGTTACTCTTGGTACGAACATAATCCATTGTTCTGATATGATGCAAAGCACCCTTTAAGATCTATAAATCGTTCCAGACAACTTATTCTAATCAACATGGGCATTAGAAGTTGCAGTCCTGTGTGGTTGGAGAAAGCTGGTTTAAAATATTATGTTCAACATAATGTTGCATTGTTTTAATTTACTATATGTTTTAGCTGTGTATTTGTTGGTATGTATTTTTATCCTGCCTTTTCTTCAGGAGTTCAGTGACTTACATTCATTTTTATTCCCAGAATGGCAATCCTTTATTTCCACATAGCAAGCTCAAAATAGTTTGAGTTGAGGGTAGATGACTGGCCCAAACTTACTCCATTAGTTCCCATGGCTGATTTGAACCTGTGTCTCCCCGGATTATTTTAGTGCCTTTTCCACTATTCCATAATATTCCCATTGCAGAGCTAATTTAAATTTTCAGTGATAGCTTGAAACAGTTTGGGATGAAACACACGGAAATGCACAGTTCAAACTTATTTCATTGGAAATAATTCAGCAAACTGAATTATTTATTTATTTTATTTATTTATTCAATTTTTATCCCGCCCTTCTCCTTACCGGACTCAGGGCGGCTGACAGCCTTATAAAACAGATACTACAATAAATACCTAATTTAAAACCAAATTAAAAAGAAATATTTACTATGGCCTATAATTAAAATTTCCCTTAAAACCCCACTAAAAATTCCCTAGGCCAATCCCGCTTGT